CCTAAAATCGGCTTACCTCTATAGTCAAGATATGGCTGAGCTGGACACCAGAAACCCAGAAGTTTTTAAGAAGTTTCAAGATGGTTTCTATGTGATCCGAAGAACAAACCAGTTTTGGGCAGGCCTCAGTAGTGATCTAGTCATCGAACAAACACTAATGAGATCAATAAAAAGCACAGGAGGCTTGACCCATGGCAGTAAGATGACAGAAGAACAGCGAACACTATGGACAATGTCAGCACCCATTACCTCTGAGTTGAACATTGCCATGCAAGACTTCAATGAACTCACATACTCCACAAGTGAGCAACATAAAGAAGCCAGTGTTGCCAGGATTGAGAGAGACGCTTCTGATCTGTTGAAGATACATTCCAAACTCTCTTCTTGCTCTCCTTTCACCTCAGACCCTGCGTTGAGAAATATCATCAATGGTATCGTTGCAAACGAGGATGCAAATGTTCATGAATATGACTCAATAGGGAAAAATATTATTGACAAAATGGTTGGACAGCCTGTATATTCTTTCTCCATCAAAGGAAAGAGAAAGCCAAGACCTTGAGGAAATTCTACTGCTGTCCAGGTTGCTCCTGAAGAACAATGGATCCCAATTTGCTGTTTCAACGATTCCTGGTGGTGTCAAGAACAGGGTTTGGCATTTGAAGAAGTGCTGAAATATGAGTTAAGTCCATACCCACCATCTCTGTTTGAGGACAATAAGATTATGAGAAAGGCAGACAAACCTCAACTAGCTGAAGCTGTCAATGATCACTGTAAAAAGATAGCAAGATGTGATCACACATCAGATGTCATCCACAGACTGAAAAGTATGTGCTAGATGGAGGCCTTGCTACACCAGCTAAAGTGGAACAACGGTGACACTTACGGGGAAAATTGCCAAGGGATATGCAGATTTCACAACAAGGCACTATGGGATGGCAACTATTGTTTTGATGGGTATGGGACTGGCCCTTCAATAAAGGATAAACACACACCAACGGCGGGGGACAAAAAACAGCTTCCGGACTGTTAACTTTACACATGAAACTGAATTTGAAGGGAAGAAGGAAGAGTTCCTATCCATAGACAAAAACAAACAAGGTTTAATCAACTTGATAAGTGAGAAACTTAAGGAAGCTGGATGTAAAGTCATTCAGGCACATGGAGATGCAGATGTTGACATCAAGAAAGACTGCAGTAAACAGTGCAAAGACCCATTCTACCACACTGATCGGAGAGGACACTGACTTATTGATTCTTGTGCTGCATTACTGTATAGCAGGTGGGAATTCACTCTATTTCAGATCAGACAATTCTTCAAAAGTCAGTCTGAAAGTGTACAACATCAACTGGATGAAGCAACTTCTTGGCAATAAGCTGTGCACCCAACTGTTATTTCTGCACTCATTTACAGGCTGTGATTCCACGTCTCGGATTTATGGCATTGGGAAAAATCAGTGTTCCAGAAACTTGTCAAAGGTGATCAAGCCCTCCAGCTATGTGCAGATACTTTCACTGCAAAGAGGTCGAACAAGCAAAGATAGAAGGAAACCGGTCGCCAGGCCATGGTGATCCTATTTGGTGGAGAGAGAAGATGTTCCCTGGCTGCATTGCGTTACAGTGTATTCGCAAAGAAGGTTGTGGCTGCTAAATCTTTTGTTACACCTGAACGCCTTCCCCCAACGGAATCAGCCACCAAGTTTCACTGTCTGCGTGCTATTATCAGGTCATGGTTTGGATGGACATGCAAACTAACCTCGATCCATTGCAATGGGGTTGGAAACTTGAAGACAACCACTTTGTTCCCATCATGACATCACTAAATGCTGCTCCAGACAGTCTTATCAAGATCATACATTGTAACTGCACAACTAGTTGCAGTTCCGCACGATGCAGCTGCAGAAAGAATGGACTTCAATGCACGACTGCCTGTGGACTGTGCCAAGTGACATGTTGTGACAATCCAGTCAATGAACCCTCAAAGAAGAAGTGGAGGATAGTGATGAGGACAATAATGACAATGATGAGGACAAAGATGAGGACTAAATAGTGTCCTTGGTAAAAACCTTGTTATGGAACATTATCCTAAAATTGTTTTTTTAGATGATTTCTTCTACTTAAAATGTATACCAATGGCAACATTTTCAAATTTCCACAAGTCAAATCCTAAATATTTTGTCACCAGTTGTTTGGTCATCCTTCAAAACCATAGATAACAACAAAAAACTATGCTTTGGACTCAATTATTGACAAAGGTATAGTGATTCTGGTGATTGGAAAGTCTCAACGGCGGCCATCTTGGAAATACCCTTTTTTACCCATAATGCACGGTTGGATTTTGGTAGACTTTTTTTCTGTTATAAAGCATACCTGGTAGGAGTCAACGTCACCAAGAAACCTTTTGTTATAATTTTTTTAAGGTTACTTGCCATATTCACCCGACTAAATGTACCAATTGCATTTGTTATTGCTTGCTCCCGTGTCGAACGAGACGACAGTTTGGTCTTGAAAGCCTCACTAAGTCAAAGTTGACCTGCTAACGATGTGCGTTTCTTATCGTCAGAAATGTTCAAAGGTTTTGAACATTTTGATTGTCCATAATCATTGCAATCAATATCGGGGTGATGTCGCCGAAGATGTGTGGACATGTTAGTTGTGCTCCCCATCTACTTGATTCGCAGGTAACACAGACGACACAGACGGTCTCATCTTTTTAACAAGTTTCATCACAATGTATTCAATTGGAAAACCAAATGCTTGCCAATCAGAAGATTTGAATGAAGCCGGGGTTTTTTTGACTTCACATTTGATTTCGGTGCTTACCAGTCCGTCTTCAGCCATTGTTTTCACAGCTCAAAAAGCACATGACATCTGACAGTGAACTTGAGCTTGACATTCGCAGTAATGCGATCTGATTGGCTGTGTACTTTCGTTTTCTGGGAAAGGCGTGTTTGTGTGAAGTGTTTCGAGTCATGGTTTCATGCAGAACATTTTATCATTAGTTTTTTTGTCGAATTATTAATAACACAAGCTTTACAGATTGCTAGGAAAAGTAGTATATTCTGATGATAGGTATGCTTTATCGTTTGATGGAAAATATTTATGATCATAAACGTTTTGTCACTGAGAAAAAGGCTGGATATTTTCGGAACGTATAGTAAAAACATTTGAGGGAATACAGCAGTTTTGTGCCAAACGTCGATCTAACTTGCACAACAGAGACAATCATAGACACTCTCAGGTAAGATGCGTTTATTCAATTCAATGTTAACAACATGGACGCTATATTATGTGAACAAGATCATTTACTGTAATTGACAGCACACAAAACACTGTTTACAGTTTTGTATCGTAGCGGATCGATTCACGGGCAAATACGTATCGCGTATCGTATCGTACGCCATAGATCGCGATGCATCGGTGTACCGGTGTATCGTTGCACCCTTAGCCGGTACCAATCTATTTTTCTATTTAAATGGCTTAAAAGTCACGCAAATGCAAATATATGACCAATAAACATTCTCAAAACTATTAATGTACAATAATATCAAGGAAATACCAATGCTATTACTAGTTTTGACTACATGACGAAAATTACCAATCGTATCGGTTCGCGAAAAGTGTACCGCAATATGTCGTATTGTGAAGTTCGAATTGCAATATACTGGTTAACCGGTATTATCGCCCACCCCTAATAACCACTGACTCTACAACATCTGCTGCATCAGATGAGAACTGACTATACACACTTGATCAATGCAAAAGATGTTGATTACTGGATTGTCTGGCCCAGACATGATTACTTACAGACCGCTATCATAGAGTGCGGCATTAAACAACAACCAGCCAAACAAAACAAAGCGTGTTCTCAAACTTGCCTTTAGCAAAATCCAGGATGCTACTGGTATTCATTGTATCTGGTTGGCTAGTGTCTCTAGCATAGTCTGGCCTTTTCCAATCATATACAGTGGAATCTGTCAATACCGGACTCTGTGTAATCCGGTTTTCTCCATAATCCGGTTTTCTCCATAATCCGGACTACTCTCTGAGTCCCAGCAAAATTGTTCATATTTTATCATTAAAGCTTGCTTTATAATCTGGACTCTCTCAGTTACAGATTACTAACTAAAATAACAGTCCAGAAAATCAACTTGCTATGAAAATAATGCTTTGTAATCAGGACATAGCTGACTAAAATAACAGTCTGTTGAATAAACATTTCCGTTACTTCTGTTCACAATGGTTAATGAATGAATTAATTCTATGAACACACATTAATTAATGTCAGTTAACTCAGTGTCACTTCGCAGTCTTATTAACGACAGATTACTTGCTTGTTTCACATTCACTTCATAGTTATGGCAGACCAACCAGCGGAACGTAGGCGGCCTGTTTTGTCACTTGCTGACAAAGTGAAACTTATTGACTAGTCAGAGAGGTCAAAACAGAAAGATCTCACTGAGAAGTACAAGATAAGCAAACAGAGTGTATTAGCAAAGTGAACATTAATACCGTCAGCTTTTTGAAAAGAAAATAGCATAAGTCATCGTAGCAGTGTCTACGGTAACGGGCAAAAGTTGTCTAAATTGACTCTAATCCGGACTGCTTTACAATCCGGACAAATGAGTCGGTCCCAGGCCAGTCCTTAATAGACAGATTCCACTGTATGTATTATCTTTGGCTAAAAGGTAAAGCTAGCAAGACTTGACAGGACAGTCTCATATTCGCCACTGGGCTAAATGGATTACAAACAGGCTTTAGTAAGGATTTTTACACGAACATTGCTGCAACATTAAAATAATAATAGATATGTCAAAATCTTAATCAATAATAAAACAAAGCAATCATGTATTGCAATCGTGTCATTTCTAGTTATTAGCTATTCATATAGCTTATGTTTGAGCTTATATCGTTAAGTCAACTTTTAACTTTGTAACCAGTAATTAGATGATGTACTGTAGATAAGACGGTGGCTGCATGTGTCAGGTGTGATATATCCATACCTGTCTGCTTCTTGTGATGCCTCCTCATGGTGGTTCTTACTGGGCCTGAATGACTGGATCTCAGTCTTCTCAAAGCCAGCCAGGTTGGTGCCTGAGATGTCAAGTGATGTCACAAGAGGGAGGCCGGCAATGAGCTGCTGGAGATACTGTTCAGGATGGAGGTACATCACAGGAGTGTCTAACTGGCCTTGAGAAACATCCAGGTGTCTAAATAACACACATACATGCATGACGGAAAATATGGTATTGATGAGCCATTATTTCATAGGCATCTTTTATGTAGCAAAGCGGGTGTGATGAAATCATGAGAAATACAATACAGGTGTGATATCATGATGTATTCATACAATACAGGTGTGATGATATCATGATGTATACATACAACACAGGTGTGTGATCATGATGTAGACATACAATACAGGTGTGTGATCATGATGTACCGATACAATACAGGTGTGTGATCCTGATGTAGAGATACAATACAGGTGTGTGATCATGATGTAGAGATACAATACAGGTGTGATGATATCATGATGTAGAGATACAATACAGGTGTGTGATCATGATGTAGAGATACAATACAGGTGTGATGATATCATGATGTATACATACAATACAGGTGTGAGCATGATGTAGAGATACAATACAGGTGGGAAGATATAGTGATGTATACATATAATACAGGTGTGTGATCATGATGTAGAGATACAATACAGGTGTGATGATATCATGATGTAGAGATACAATACAGGTGTGTGATCATGATGTAGAGATACAATACAGGTGTGGGATCATGATGTAGAGATACAATACAGGTGTGTGATCATGATGTAGAGATACAATACAGGTGTGTGATCATCATGTAGAGATACAATACAGGTGTGTGATCATGATGTAGAGATACAATACAGGTGTGTGATCATGATGTAGAGATACAATACAGGTGTGTGATCATGATGTAGAGATACAATACAGGTGTGTGATCATGATGTAGAGATTCAATACAGGTGTGTGATCATGATGTAAAGATACAATACAGGTGTGTCATCATGATGTAGAGATACAATACAGGTGTGTGATCATGATGTATACATACAATACAGGTGTTTGATCATGATGTAGAGATACAATACAGGTGTGTGATCATGATGTAGAGATACAATACAGGTGTGATGATATCATGATGTAGAGATACAATACAGGTGTATCATCATGATGTAGAGATACAATACACGTGTGTGATCATGATGTAGAAATACAATACAGGTGTTTCATCATGATGTAGAGATACAATACACGTGTGTAATCATGATGTAGAGCACAACAGGTGTGTGATCATGATGTTGAGATTCAATACAGGTGTGATGATATCATGATGTAGAGATACAATAGAGGTGTGTGATCATGATGTAGAGATACAATACAGGTGTGTGATCATGATGTAGACTCAATACAGGTGTGATGATATCATGATGTAGAGATACAATACAGGTGTGTCATCATGATGTAGAGATACAATACAGGTGTGTGATCAAGATGTAGAGATGCAATACAGGTGTGTGATCATGATGTAGAGATACAATACAGGTGTGTGATCATGATGTCGAGATTCAAGACAGGTGTGATGATATCATGATGTAGAGATACCATACAGGTGTGTGATGATGATGCAGAGATACAATACAGGTGTGTGATCATGATGTAGAGATGCAATACAGGTGTGTGATCATGATGTAGAGATACAATACAGGTGTGTGATCATGATGTCGAGATTCAAGACAGGTGTGATGATATCATGATGTAGAGATACAATACAGGTGTGTGATGATGATGTAGAGATACAATACAGGTGTGTGATCATGATGCAGAGATTCAATACAGGTGTGATGATATCATGATGTAGAGATACAAATTACAATACAGGTGTGTGATTGTGATGTCGAGATTCAATACAGGTGTGATGATATCATGATGTAGAGATACAATACAGGTGTGTGATCCTGATGTAGAGATACAATACAGGTGTGTGATCAAATGTAGAGATGCAATACAGGTGTGTGATCATGATGTAGAGATTCAATACAGGTGTGTGATCATGATGTAGAGATTCAATACACAGTTGTGATGATATCATGATGTAGAGATACAATACAGGTGTGTCATCATGATGTAGAGATACAATACACGTGTGTGATCATGATGCAGAAATACAATACAGGTGTGTGATCATGATGTAGAGATACAATACAGGTGTTTCATCATGATGTAGAGATACAATACACGTGTGTGATCATGATGTAGAAATACAATACAGGTGTGTGATCATGATGTAGAGATACAATACAGGTGTGTGATCATGATGTAGAGATTCAATACAGGTGTGATGATATCATGATGTAGAGATACAATACAGGTGTGTGATCATGATGTAGAGATACAATACAGGTGTGAGTGAGTGACTTTAGTTTTACGCTGCACTCAGCAAATTCCAGCTATATGGCGGCCCCTAAATTAAAGATATACAGATATAAAATGTACAAACACCACATTTTTTCATGGGGGTATATAGCGTATGCCAGTCACTGAAAGTAGGTCAACAACACAAGAGTGGCGGTGGGGTAGCCTAGTGGTTAAAGCATTTACTCGTCACGTCGAAAACCCGGGTTCGATTCCGCACATGGGTACAATGTGTGAAGCCCATTTCTGGTGTCCTCAGCCATGATATTGCTGGAATATTGCTAAAAAGAGTGTAAAACCAAACTCACTCACTCACTCAACAACACAACTGACTGACTGAGTTTAGTTTTACGCCGCTTTTAGCAATATTCCAGCAATATCACGGCGGGGGACCCCAGAAGTAGGCTTAACACATTGTGCCCATGTGGGGAATCGAACCCGGGTCTTCGGCGTGACGAGCCAACGCTTTAACCACTAGGCTACCCCACTGCCACTCTCAACAACACAAGATGGCATAGGATTACCTTTACTAGGACATTTTGTGGACATGTAAAACATATATTCTTACTGACCTTCACTGTGACCTTGACCTTTCCATAGGTCACTCACAAACTTTTTAAATGGTGTTCCTGTCCCTAGGATGCTATGTTCATATCTCAGTGTCATCTCCTTACAATGATTCTTGAGTTATTCTTTAAATGCCTTTAGAAATTACTAATCAATAAGCCCAAAAGGTTTCTCAGGGCTATACACAGGAGACATCCATGACATTATAAACTAGGACGTTCACTTACAGTGCAGTACCAAAACAGAATGTGACAGAAGCAATTTCCTTGGGGAATTCAAACATCCCCATTTACATGTGGTGCTCATTTCTGGTGTCCCCTGCCGTGATATTGCTGGAATACTGCTAAAAGCAGCATAAAACCATATTCACTTACTCATTTACATGAGGCTGCTCTGTGTCATGTTACAATGCCCATCAAAGCACATGCTGAACACACACATAATTTCTTCGAATCAAGCATGAATCTCATTCTGTCCTAGAAATGCATAAGGCCTAAGAATTCAAAAGGTGAGGTGAGGTGAAATTGGGTTTAACGTCGTGCTTGAGAATATTTCGCTCATATGACAAGTGCATGCGTGTGTATGTGCGGCTGCTTGTACTAGCCCAGACTGAAGCTGGTTTTATAGTGCTAGCCCACTGAGATACCATGCCGCAGTGAAGCATGAATACCCCACTCAGACACAGTATACTGACTCCGAGCCGACCAGTCCTTGTTGTACCCATTAATGCCGAGCGCCAGGCAGGGACCAACAAGTACCACATTTAAACGTCTTTTGGTATGGCGGTCGGGATCAACCAGCGACCTTCCCTCTCCAGCTGACGCTCTAACCACTACACCCACGGAGGCGTAATTCAAAGGTAATACCTATAACTGTACAGTACTTACTTGAGCTGTTTGAGTTGGCACAAGTTGTCAATGACTGCATCCATGTCTTGAATGTCGACATCCGCAAGGCTGAGTGACAATAGGTGATGTAAGCACTGGAAGTGGGGAAAGGTTTCCATGGCAACAGTACATTGAGATAGGTCCAGGTGTGTCAGCAGCTTACACCAGCCGGAATACATCATGTAGTTGGACGTTTCCAATCAGCAAGTTGTCTTCCAACTGGAAATCTCTCATGCACAATTTACTGAGGAGATGAGGACAGTTCAAAATAGGGTCATCATTCTGTTCAACATTTTCTACTGGCACTTTTTCAATATAATCTTCGTTCTGTGCAGCAGAAATAGAATCTACATGATCTCTAAGCTCCTCAAACATATCTGTAGTGTTCTCCAAGCCGCAGTGACCGTGGAGGTTTTCCCCATTTTGTTGATGAACGGGATGCAGTCCGATGACAGTCTTGTACAACAGGACAGGTCTAGTTCTACAATAGGTTGATGTTTTACTAGACCTAGTCCACAGTCACTCACATAAGAATTTGCTAAGGTTAGTCGACTGAGCTGTGTCCCTCGAACGTTACTGAATATATTGAGGAAGCCATCTGCAGTGGAATGTGCATGATCGACATGCTCCATGTAGAAGTGAAATATCTTATCACAGATTGTTTTGGGCAGGGACACTCCTGGGAAGAGGGTATACATTGTGGTGTGGTGTGTTGTTGTGGCCTGGTGTGTGAAAGGTCTCCAGGTTCTTCACACAGTACTGCACACAGAGATCCTCCAGGGTTGCCGGCATGTTCGCGAGGCCAACTCTCCATCCTGCCTGCAAACCAGAACACAGCTGCACTTCAAACACACAGATGCCAACCCTAATTTAGCCCAATAAGTATTTTGACCAAAAAATGATGCAAAAATTAGTATTTTGGGGTCATATATAATATATATATATATATTCTTAGAGCTTGTTATCAACAGTGTACTCATCTAAATTAGTATTAGGTATCCACATATAGCTTGATACTGAATATACTGTGGTTGAAATTTAATGTGTATGGTACGTATGCTATTTGATAATTTGATTTAATGTATCTTTTATAAAATTGGTATATTTCTACTGCTATCGTAGTCGCGTATATTATGTTGTTCTTTCGTAAAGAATACGATAAAATCTCTGCAAACAGAACAAACGTAAATTCATACATGATCCCTCTCTCTGCAAAAGGCAAAACCAAAATATTGTTGTGGTTCCGATTACCCGCCTGACCCTTGAATTCTGGTGCCGACCCTATTTTTTGTAAGCAATATGAATAATTAAGCTTCCAGATACCATTAATTTATCCTGGGACTGACGGACATTGGTCATTCTCATAGAGAAAGTTGACATGATGGCCACAAGCTTGATTGAATAAACAATTACACATGGATAAATGTGTTATTAGTTTGTACTTTACTTCTAAAAAAAAGGAAAAAAAATGAAATCCTAGCTACCCTAAATCTTAAAGAGGTCTTAACAACATAAAAGTACAATATTCAGATAAAACGTTTGAATACAGTTGTACTTTAGGTGAAATATGCCTCTTCATATGTGTGTATGAGATGTAGCAACCTGCAAGAGGTGTTACGTAACCATGTTAACATAGCAAGCATGACAAGGGACACGTTATATATTGACATAAACACCTGAATTTTCAATTAAAAACTTAAACAAGCTGACCCACAGACACTCCCAGAAATGGTGAAATAGAATTTTATTGGAATCTTGAATGAATTTTTAGATACACAATTGCAGGACAAATACACAATGCACAAACTTTATAAACCCAGAAGTTTATAGGAAGCAAAATTTGCAGTAAAGTGAGATAGACAGGTATGATGGGGCCACATCAATTATTACATGGTCTTTGAGTGGCATTTAGATTCTGGTTGGCACATTACTCACATGGTGAGGTGAGGTGAGGTGAAATTAGGTTTAACGTCATGCTTGAGAATATTTCGCTCATATGACGACATGCATGTGTGTGTATGTGTATGTGTGGCTGCTTGTACTAGCCCAGACTTAAGCTGGTTTTATAGTGCTAGCTCACTGAGATACCATGTCGCAGTGAAGCATGAATACCCCACTCAGACACAGTATACTGACTCCGAGCCGACCAGTCCTTGTTGTACCCAATAATGCCGAGCGCCAGGCAGGGACCAACAAGTACCATATTTTAACGTCTTTTGGTATGACGCGGTCGGGGATCGAACCCGTGACCTTCCGCTCTCCAGGCGGACGCTCTAACCACTACACCACGGAGGCGGTCATTACTCACAAGAAGGCATGGAGGATCAACATTATATTTTCAAAGATGCTTTGATAAAAGGTCAGGCGATAAAGTACACTTTTTGCATGACGTCACCCTTTATTGACATCACTACGCCATTCTCTGCCCCTTCATTATCACATGTACCCTTGAAACAGACATCACAATGGATGCCAACTGTTATCGCCTCATACAGCCTCCTACAGTAAACTACTCCGTAGCATCCCAATTCTTGGTTTGCAGTTGCTTCTTTTGGCTAACATCACTGGTGGAAACATTACATTTATGTTTTTCGACGGAAAAAATTTCTCAGTTTCGACTCACAATTAAACAGCGGTACCACAACATTCGCATTGTTTATTCCAACAATGCATCTGTGGATTGTCGCGTGACTAGTCAGCTTCATCTGGATGTACTGGCCCCGAGGTTATAAAAAAATTTTCGTGCTCAACTCAATTTCATGCTCAAATTCGTGCTCATGCTCAAAATCGCGCTCAGCTGAGTATCGTACTCAAGCAGAGGTTATAAAACGTTTTGAGCACGTACTCAGCTGAGTACAACTCACACTCGGCTTGAGTATGCTCAAGGTACTCTTTGTTTGTTTATCACTGGCGGCAATTTGGAACTCTTCTGTGAAGAAGGTAAGAAAAGCGACCGGATGTTGTGCGTCTGCTATATTTACAATGGCAACGCGGAGTGCCTGAGTTGAAGAAAGCGTGGGAAAGGATGGTGAGGAGGGCCGGAGGAGGTTTGCCTCATACAAGAAGTGCTCCAGCGAGAAAAACTCTCTTTGGAGACATGAAAGGGTGTGGAGTAAAGTCCATCCATCGACAAGCGTACGATGGATGGCAAGAAATCTGAACACCCTAAGCGGCGTAAGTTGTTCAACATCGTTCCATATTCTGTATTTACTGTTCCTCAAAAAAGATCACCAAAGCCCTCACCACTCCCACTACCATATTTTCCCAACAATGAAAATAATAACAAATTATCTTAGTTTGTAAAGACAATAACATTTCCAAAAGCGAAACAATTTCGATCTATGACTGTTCATAATTTATGGCCTCACGGGGTGAGTGGTTGATTAATTTATTGGAGAAGCATGTACAATGGGAATGACTCCCAAACCCTGACCCCAGTCAAAACTTATGAATGGTCCCATTTGTTCATGTTGTTAACATTGAGATTATTGATTTATGCCTGGATCAGATGATCAAAGCAATGCCTGTATAGCTATGAATTTATTTACTGTTGACAAATGTCATTGTTAAATGAGATGAATATATATTGTGTGACCTGTATTGTGTGAAACTGTAACCTGTTCCCCATACCCCACCCACAAATGTATACTACCCATCAAAAGTTTAGACTCACTAGTGTAAATGTTGCCACTTACTTCAGTCAACTGTGGAAAACTAGATTTTTGCAAAATATACCATACTGTTTAAGGATACTGTTTACATGAACTGATGTATTGCAAAAAACAAATCCATAACGTTAGAGAAAAATTATTGTCATGAGTTCAATAAATGATGAAACTCAGTGAAAATTGGTGAATCGTAACAAAACTTTACACCAAAATGCAGCTGTTCGCATGCAAGATATCTGCACATTCTTTTCAGTAATTTGATGCATGAACCTCATGCAATTCATCTGAATAAGTTTCCCCAAAGTAAGTGGAGAAATTCATCTTCAATGTAACCACTTATATATTTTACACATAACATATTGTGAGTGCTTTAAGTGAGTCTAAACTTTTGATGGGTGGCATAATTATGTAACTGATCATTTGTGTGTGGAAATATCAAATTTGATAATAAAACTTGTATACTTTCAGTAGACATCAATGTAAGCGAGAGACACTGGAGGTGAAGAAGAAGTATTTTAATCTGAAGCAAAGAGGGTACTCTTTCACATTTGATGTAAATAGTAGTGGGTTTGTTTTCATCCATGATAATGTATTAGGTACTTATTATTTAAATACAGAAAATGATTCTTAATCTCTCCATAACACATGAATACATGTCAGCATGTAAGAATCATTGTTTATTATTCAGATATATTCCAAATATAAAATATGTGTATTAATAAGTGAATTTAACCTGCAATTTGTTTATTGTAGCTAGCATAAAGATCGATGGCCTCAAAAGGTCAATGGCGTTACTGGAGGAGGGCCTCCACCACCAGCACTAACAAGTGCAGATGAGGTGCTTTCCCAGTCCAGTCTCATTGGAAGGGAGGCCAGGCATTCATGGCCTAGACCATGGCATTGACACTGATGGTAAGGAGTCTTTTTCCATATTTTTTAAAGAATGATATCAATTTTTGTGCAAACATTCAGATAATACTGCTGCCTGTGGTGAGACTTAAAACCTGGAACATTTTCATTCTGATGACCAAACAAGGAATAAGAAAAACTTTCTTGACACCACCATCATGGACAAATCAAGTACTGTCGAGACAAATACAACAAATTACTATTTTTAAGACACAAAGCTTGCTATTCATAGTGATCATAGTAAATATAATGCATTTTGTTGTGTATTACATCGATTTCAAAGCATTCAGGTAATGATTAATCTGTGTCAAATAATATATTTGAAGACAATTACTCAGTCATAACATTTGAAGGTACAGAGTATTTGTATGTAACTGTAATAGAATTGAAAAAGTTAAAATAGCTAGAAAAATACATTTTGCTTTCCCTATTTACAACAATTGCTTATGCCTGTACAGATGAAACTGACACTGCAGCAGAAGGTAAAACAAACATTTAAGGTCTCTGAATACTATTTACATGTAATACAGTAATATACACATCTCATGTATAACATGAAACATCTGTAGTACTTGCTGGATTGTTTCCCTTAAATTACATAT